TGTGTCTGTGTTGTGAAGGTTTGCTGATCATCACCAATGCGGGTGGCCCGGGGGTGCTGTCCACAGACGCCGTGGTACCCATCTGACAGCACTCGTGGCACCAAGTCACTCGTCCATCCCATCCACGTGTGTGTATCATGTGGACCAATGTGTCCCACAGGCGGTTGCCGGCGCCAAGATGGCTGAGCTGGACGAGAGCACCATAGCCAAACTCAACGAGGTCCTGCCACCCGCCTGGAGCCACTCAAAGTAAGTGCGCCTGCCTGCTTGCCCCCCATGGCCTTGCACCCAAACTCGCGTCTACCACCGTGTGTGTATGGCGTGTGTACCAGCCCGGTGGATGTGTTGGGTGACGCGAGCCCCGAGGCGTACGCCAAGACGCTCGAGATAGTCATGGAAGACCACAACGCTGACGGAGTGCTCGTCATTCTATCGCCACAGGTGGGTGCATTCCAACCTCCCAACACCCAATGGATGTGATGTACTCCCTCCCTGATGCAATCAATCAACTGTCGATCAGGATGTGACGGATGCCACTGGTACGGCAAAGCAACTGGCGCCCTTCGCCAGCAAGTTCGCGGGCTCCTCCCGGCCGGTGCCCATCCTGGCGTCCTGGATGGGCGGCGGGGAGGTGCAGGAGGGCATACACATCCTCAACGAGGCCGGCATCCCCACATTCGCATACCCCGATGCGGCTGCACGGACATTCGCCAAAATCTGGCAACAGTCCAGAAACCTAGATGTAACCACACACACACACACACACACAGACAGGAACGGGGCAGGGCCATCGACCAAGGGTGAGGGCTTCGTGTGTGTGTGTGTGTGTATGTAGTTGATGTACGAGACGCCGACGTTGGTGTTGGGTGCGGTGTACGACAAGCCCAGCGGTCTGTCTGCCCGCGACATCGCCCAGGCCATCATGGAGCGAGCGCAGCAGGAGAAAAGGGACGTACTCACAGAAAACGAATCCAAACAGGTACCTAGTCCCACTGCCCACCCACCCAAAGATGGATGGATGGACGGATCTCTCTCTGTGTGTCCATGTAGGTGTTGGCGGCGTATGAGATCCCATGCGTGCAAACCGTCGTGTGCGGCACAGCAGAGGAGGCAGGCAATGCTGCGGACAAGGTCAGCACGGCAAGTCACCCCGATTGACGAACAAAAAGAGCTTCCGTTCGTCTGTCTGTCTGTCTGTGTGTAGATGGGTTATCCGGTAGTGGTCAAGTTGAACAGCGAGACCATCACACACAAGAGCGACGTGGGCGGCGTCAAGCTCAACATCAACAGCAAACAGGCCGTACGCACACGGACAGCACAGATCCACATGCGTGTCTTATGAGTGACGGCACTGATCCATGTGTGTGTGCATGGCATGGCATGGCATGGCAGGTGGTAGATTCGTTCAATACCATCAAGACGTCGGTCACCCAGAAGGCAAAAGCAGAGGACTTTCAGGCAAGCCAAGCCACCTGTCACCACCACCTCCACAGACCTCCATCCTTACTTACCCGTGTCAGTCAGTCAATGTGCACACGTGTGCATGGGTCTGTCTGTGTGCAGGGTGTGACGGTTCAGCAGATGATCAACATCCACGAGGGTTACGAGATCATATTGGGGAGTTCGCTGGACCCCCAGTTCGGCCCTTTGGTGCTGTTCGGCAGCGGCGGGTCGCTGGTGGAGGTCTACCGCGACAAGGCACTCGGCCTGCCGCCACTCAACACCACACTCGCTAAACGACTCATGGAGGTCTGCAGGCAGGCACATGTGCCATCCATCGATCGACCCGGCTGTGTGCGTGGGGTGTGTGTAGGAGACCAAGGTCTACCGCGCGTTGCTGGGTGTGCGGGGCCAGCCCCCTGTCAACATGGACGCCCTCGGACAAGTTGTCTGCAGATTCTCAGAGGTACTTTCGCATGGCATGCATGTGCGTGTGTAGGCAGAGATAGAGGCAGCGAGAGAGATACAGATAGAGGCGTGGCGTGAGTCTGTCTGTCTGTGTGTGTGTGCGTGGGTGTATGTATGTGTCCATTCATTCACTCAGATGATATCTGAGTTGTCGGCGTGGGTGTCTGAGTGTGACATCAACCCCCTCCTCGTCTCACACAAACACATCATCGCACTCGACGCAAGAGTGGCACTCAGGTACGTACGGTACCTATCCGTGTGCACACGTCTGTCATGTGAGCTGCGTCTACACATTCACCCATATGTGTGTGTGTTCGTGTGCGTGGTCGTATGCATGCAGGTCCAAGGAGGAGGCGCCGCCCATGCTGGCCATCCGGCCCTACCCCGCCGAGTACATCAAAGAGGAGACACTCAAGTAACCGAAACAACATGCCATGCGCACAGACGAGACGATAGATACAGAGAGAAATCTTTCCGTTTTCTCTCTGTCTGTTTGTGTGTGGTGTGTTGTGCAGGTCCGGTGCGCGTGTGATGTTTCGGCCGATCCGGGCTGAGGACGAGGCCCTGATGAAGCGATTCCACGCACGACTCTCCACAGAAACCATCAAGTCAGCACACTAAAAGACACACCCACACACGCAGCAAGTACACCTCTGGGTGTGTGCGGCGCATGCAGGCAGCGGTATCTGTCGTCTGTGTCGCTGGACGAGCGCGCCGCACACCAGCGGCTGGTCAGCCGATACATACCTGCCTGACACGGAGGCGCCGCGCCCTATGTCTGTCGTGTCGTGAGATGTTTCCTGTTTGTTTGGGTGTTGGTGTGTGCAGATAGGGGTGTGCAATGCGGACTACGCCCGTCTGATATGTCTGCTGGCTGTGGACCTGACCGACAAGGAGATCGCCGGGGTGCTGCGCCTCCACAGATACCCCAACAAACTCGAACTCGCAGAACTCAAGGCAGGCACCTACCCACACAGACAGGACAGGAGCTATCTGTGGCCACGCGTGTGTTGTGTTGGGTGTGTGCAGTTGGTGGTGCGTGATGATTTCCAGGGCAAGGGCCTCGGAAGCCTCTTCATGAGCCACGCCATGGACGTATGCTGTGCAGCCAGCATATATGCGATGCGTGCAAGCGTGTGTCTATGCCATGTGTGCCTTGTGGGGGGTGTGTGTGCAGATAGCCCGGATGGAGGGTCTGCAGCGCATCCACGCACTCGTCCTCAACGAGGTAGGCGCCCTCCTGCCCACCCCACACACCAACGCACAGCACATTTCATCGCGTCGCCTCACTTTTGCCACCTTGTGTGTGTGTGTGTGTGTGTGTGTTGTGCCCTCACCCTCCCCCCCCTTCCCCCCGCCAGAATAGCGGTATGTTGCATTTGCTGGAGAACTACGGCTTCAAGACCAGGGCCAACGAGGACGACCCCGCACTCGTCGAGGCAGACCTCAACCTACAGGACATCTGACACACACACAACAACACAACACACACAGAGAGATAGAGAGAGGGGGGGGGGGGT